GTGGGAAGGGCACACCCAATTTTGACAGTTTGGGAAAAAAAAAAAAAAAGTATGTTAACTGAGGTTTTTTTTTTTTTTTAATTTACTCATAACCAGAAATAAGTCAGAGTTAGAATTTTTAATAGTGCCTAGTTGTCTCAAGAGTCTTCATGAGGCCTTTTCCTACTTTCGAGAGCTTTTTTCATATAACTCATTATGCCTGGGGAGAATGCTGTGAGCATTTTCCACAACAAAAAGTACCAGATGATCCATGTCCGGAACCAATGGCCTATACTCATATTCACAAAATAATTATAGGCAGAAACAGTGCATAATATCAGAAAAAGAGCCAGCCTTCCTAAACCACTCAATCTTTTCAGAAAGGCTGTGCACCCCCCTCCTTCCTGAAACATCAGAGCTATTTCTAGAATAAACTCACCATGCACCAACCCTTTACTCCCTTCTAAAACAACAGTGAATCAAATGCTCCATTATTTATACTAAGTGGCTTTGGAAAATGTGGCTAAAGTATAAATTCACAAAGACCACAAACCCACCATAACTAGCCAGCATACATGCAGCAAACAGCAGCTACCAACTAGATTTATGGATACAACAGAACTGAACTAGAGAGACCTACATCTCAATTCCTCTAATAGTTACTCTTTTTTTCTTGGAGAGGTTTATGCTATAGAGCACGTGCACTCGCCAGAAAGACAGAGAGAGAGAGACAGGAAGCGAGAAATCATCCCCCAGGGGGAATGGCCACACCGCAATCCCTTCTCCTCCATTCTCCACTTGGGATCTTGGCCATGCACACACACATGCCCGGCATGAGTTTAAGTCACCAGGTCTGGGACTCGAACCTCAGTCGACTACATGGGAGTCCAGAGACATAGTCATTACGCTAACTGCTGGTCCTTCTAATAGTTACTTCTTAAAAATAGTTTTGACAATTAAACACAAACTACTTCTTTTAAGCAAATAATTACTTATAAAATATATATCAACTTACAATAATATGAAAAGGGAAAACATTCTAATTTCCTAGGGGGCTTGGGCCTACTGAATAGCCATTTGCCTTAGATGTGAAAATCAAGATCAGAAAAGGACAAACTCATCAAGGGCTTTTATTATTCTTCATGGAAGAATTCGAAAACATTGTATTCCCATTCATCCTGGACATCTCCTGCAGCTCTCCTTAAAAGTCTGGCTTCAGAATCAGAAATCTGCAGTTCTATTTCCAGCACTGAGAATGAATCTTCTCTTTGCTTCCAAATATCAACTGTAAAATGGTAATAAGAATATTTATCCCCTCTATAGCTCATAAATATGTGTGAGTGGTAGCCTCCGTGGAAGGATATAAGATGACAGCAAGCAAAGTACCTGCAAGATGCTAGGAAAATCATAAATATAACCTATCAAGTCACCAGATATCAAAGAAAAGAGTTTATTTGCTTTCACGTGAGCCGTAAGAAGGGACCCATGTAGACAGATTTTCGTCTTGTTGACAGTGGCCCAGCTGATGGGGGGGGAGGGGCTCAAACAGAGCAACCAAGTAAGTAACAAAGTTCACAGAGAAACTGGCAAACTCTACACAAGAAAAGGGCCCCTAGGGCCGCATTTCTCCAAAGGTCGACAGCAGTGATATTATAGGATTGTCAGGAAAGTCATCACATGTTTTCACATGGGAAAAACGCATCGTGACTTTCCCAACAACCTCATATTTATTAGAAAAAGTAACAATAGCAAGCCAGGCAGTGGTATGGAGGTTACGGTAGCTGGATCCCACATGGCTAATTATGGGGTTCAAGTCCTGGAAATGGTAGCTTAAATAACATGCTAGGTGGAGCCAGCAGAGGGCATGGTGTTGAAGGTGCTGGACTCTCACATGGCTGACCACAGGTCAAGTCTGGACCTGATAACTTATTTTCTTACTTTCCCTCTCTCCCTCTCTAGTGAGTACATGTGCCCTATAGAAAACTAAAATATAATCATAATAAATAAAATTAAATAAATAATTCTAAAACAATAACAAAATGCCAGGTGCATGAGTGTGCATGCCCAAAATCCAGAAAAAAGAGAGAAATGGAGGAGAGAGGATGGCAGCACAACCATCGCCCATGGGGGGGTCCCTCTCTTTCTCTCTATCTCTGGCAAGCACACATACCTTCTAGCAAATAATAATAATACTAATAGCATAACTTCTCTCCACCTTTAAAAGGAATAATAACTATAAGAAGATGTGCATTTGGAGCCAGCAGGTGGCATGGTGGTTAAAATGTTGGACTCCCACTTGGCTGACCATGGTTTGAGTCTGGACCTACCATGCTTTCTCACTTTCCTTCTCTCTCTCTGTTGCTCCCTGATGAGCACACATGCCCTGTAGCAAATTACAAAGTAATACTAATAATAAAGATAACTAAAATTAAATAAATAATTTTTAAAAAATAAAATATGTGCACCAATACAGACTTTTCAGGTCTCTCTGTAGAGTAAAAACATAAAAGCACATTTAAAATGCAGACAGACACAGCCCTTCAAGACAACTACCACATTCCTTGTGGGATTTCCTTTATTGGATTTCACAGGATGCAGCCATTGTAAATGGCCCAGCATTACTCACACACACCAAAAAGCTAATGAGACTCCCTACTTAGTGATTATGGCTTGCACTGGTTCAGAGGACAGCAAATGGATAGAACTATTTCCTGGAAATATGTTAACATGCAAGGATATATTGTTCAAATGATTGTCCTGAAATAGTTTTATGATATTATTAAATTACATCCCCTTGAATTGCTTGGCTCCTTTTGTTAATTCAAATGATGCTGTATTTCACCTCTCGATTAACACTTCCTTCCCAAATGGAAGACAAAAAGAGAACAAGCCAGAAGGGAGCAGGTGATAAGAGGGGCACAAAAATGCTCATGATTTGCTACTGGATGCATGAGTATTATGGTTAAATAAAAAGCCTTTTTAAAAAGTTTTTATTTGTAGCTTCGAAAGAAAAATGGTCATAAAAATAAAAAGGCAAAAGCAATTTTGTCTCATACTTCTTGGAATTTTTTTTCCCTCAAGTCCCAGTAAAGTTAGTCCAAAGAGACATAAATAAAGCCATAGGGGTACCACTCTGGCCCTCAGCCACAATCTGAGTCAGCTGTTCACCAGGTGATCGCTCAGATAGAACTGCAAGGCTCTGCTGGAATGTTTTCAAGCAAAAATCTAAGTTACAGAAGACACAAATCATGACCATTCCCATTAACTGAATAAACTATGATCACCTCCTTTCCACTGCTATTTGTCCAATAACTGCCCTATGTGTTAGTGCTATTTTAAATGTCTAAGAAATACAAAAATGAGTAAAAAATAAAAAAAAAAAACACAATATAATCAGGAAGAACGGCTTGTAATCTATGAATTGGGAGGCTATATGGAAATTTTCTCCTAGTTTTCCTAACTGGGATCAAAATAAACCTCTTTTCAGTGAAATAAATCATGCTCAAAGCATCTGAGATTCCCTAAGAAGGATTCGTAACCTTTCCTGTCACTTGGGGAAACCCAAAGGAGAAAAAAAGTCATCTTCTCTTCTCCTGGGACCCACAGAAAGCACACCCCCAAATAAGGTCCTGCATATATGACAATGTTTTTATGTCAACCTGAAGATGACAAGCTTCTCTTAAAATTCTTCTTCAGCAAAGGTTTAAGTGAAGCATTAACTTCTATTCAACTAATTGCACTCCATGAATCAAGCTTCTTAACTATTAGCTCAATTTCAGAGGGAGATGTAGAGGATGACTCTGCGGTCCCATGCAGTATAATCATTACACAAGTGTGATACAGTACTATGCTTCCTTCAAAATAAAACACATGTGGCATCACATACATGAGAGTAATATGCAAATTTAAGTGCGCAGCTTAACTATTTTTACATATATGTGTATATACATATATGTATGCATAGTCATATAAACCCACTATCAATTTTCCAATAAAACACAAGCTAAATGAAAGCATCTGTGATCTCTGAATCATTTATCAACTGTGTGACCTTGGACAAGTTACTTATCAGACTCAGTTTCTTCATCTGTAAAATCTGAACACCCATGGTTTATACTTTAACATATTAGTGTAAGGATTAAATAGAACAGCCCATTAGATGAAATATTAGATCATCTGAAAAGTCATGATGTAGTTTTGCATAGAAAAATGTAGAAAAATACGTCATGACCTTTCCAACAACCCAACAGTACATTATACAGATTTTTTTTTATAATTACTATTATTATTACTATATGAGTGCTAAGTAATATGAGAGCATAAAAGTCAGACTTAGCCATTACTTCAAATTAACCCTTGCTTGCACCGAATATACCTTTCTTTACTGATTCTCTAGCCTGAGAGGGTGCTTTCCATAAAAACACACTGCAGACCCCAAGGGGCCAGAAAGCAGCTTACCTTGTGGGCACAGGGACCTCAGTCAGCGCTCCCAGCATGACAGCCTGCTGTAGCCGCACAAAGGCGATGAAAGGAGTGTCCAGGAAGTCAACCTCCCCAACGAGTACGTTAGACGCTTCTGCATCACGTGGCAATTTTTTCATGAACTTATTCTTCAGCTGCATGGGAAGAGGCAAGGAACACAATTTATCTCCAGAGAGGAGAACAAAAAGAGACAGCCATGTGTCACTCATGGAAAATCCCTTTGTATGGATTCACACACAGTATGTCCTACCTAGCCATCATTATATTATGCTTGATCATTCTATTGGGCTGTTGGAAAAGTCATGACACATTTTTGCAGTAGAAAAATACATCATAACTTTCCCAACAACCTAATATTATAAGAAACATTTATATGCACCATGGATTAAACATATAAAACAATATATGGTACAATTCTATTCTCTTATTTATTCAGTTCATCAAAATTTGATGAAACTATACCATGAGCCAGGTAATAATCTAAGCCTTATGGATACAGGAGTAGACAAACTATTTGCACTCCTTAAGCTCATATTCCCACAAGGGAGAGTTAAAAATATGATCTGAAGTCATGATAAGTACTAACAAGTAACAGGGTATTATATCAGACATGATGGTCAGGGAAAGGTCTCTCAAAAAATATTTATTTGACATCAGTGCAAGGGTAAAAGCCATGCAAAGATCTGTCCAAAGACCACTGCAGGTAAAAAGAATAGCAAATGCAAAGCCTTTGAATCAGGAAGGAACTTGGCAATTAGAGGAACAGTGAAAAGTCAAGTGTGGTAGGAGGGGGAGGAGTGAAGGAAAGAAATAGCAGAATATGAAGTCGTACAGGTAGTGGAAAGACCAGGTGGTAGAAAATTGAAGGCCACGGAAAGAAATCCTAGAAGACTGTGTTCGCTTCAGCAGCACATTTACTAAAATCAGAACGATACAGAGAAGATTAGCATGGCTACTGTGCAAGGATGCCACGCAAATTCGTGAAGCATTTCATATTTTAAGATCTTCTCAAAGGCACATCAAAGTCATATTGAGCAAAACCACAGACAAAGACAAGATATTAAATTGGCAAGAGAGAAATGTCAAGTTACTTTCAAAAGATATCCTATCAGGCTAACATCAGACCTCTCATTGGAATCAATGCAAGCAAGTAAAGAATGGGAAAATGTATTCAAAGCGTTAAGTGAAAAACAATTTCAACCAATAATACTATATCTCACAAGATTACCCTTCATATGGGAAGGAAAAACAAAAACATTCTCAGGTAAACAAAACCTGAAAGAATTTACTAACACCAGGCCAGCTTTCCAAGAAGTGCTAAAGAAAGTGCTTTACCAGGAAAACTAAAGTCAGACACACAGAAATTAAAATACAAAAAGTAACCAAAATAATGGCCAACTTAATGATAGAGACAAGTCCAGAAAGATCAACAATAACTTTACATGTTAACTTCCAGGATTTAAACAGAAAGATCAGACCACAGTAACACTGTAAATTCAATAAAAGAGAGAGATTAATTTCAGGAGGATGAACTGGTAAAATAGAATTTTTACAACGTTTGACTAAAACATTACTGTTTTTCTTCTATGCTTTGTTGTCCAGATTTAAGGATTATTGTCTTCTCTTAAACTGTTGATAGGTTCATCTACCTACTGTTTGAACTGAATCCTAACCTTTCTCCTGGCTTTAAGCCTTAAGCAAATTTCTCTTAACATTTTTTTTATTTTGATCTTTTAAGCTAAAACTGTTATTCTTGAAATTAAAAATGCATTAAAAATAGCTATTTAATGACTGTAGTAAGCTATCTAGCCCCATCCCGGTGTACTTTATCGTATCTTCATTCTACTCAGTGAGGTTTATGCCTAAAGTCAGACATGTGTTCATGGATATGTATATATCAGCTGTGCTTGCTATTGAAAGTATTTAGGTTAAATAAGATCTTAGTGAATCAATAAAATTTGAAAAAAGGGGGGGCATGGAAAGCAACTATAAAAACCAGAGACAATGTGGGAGAAGGGGTGGGAAATGACAGAGGTAAGAGATAGGGAATCTAGACAGGGGGGAGAAGTGAAAAACATAAGAAACAAGAAATGGAAAATTATTTGTTGATGATAACACATATGGCAGTATCCTTGATTAGGCCAATATACAGTGTATTTGGGATGGAAAAATCTCATTTTGTATACTGTAATGATGTACAATGAATGAATATAAATAAATAATTTGAAATTAATTTTTTTAAAAAGAAGTTCTGGAAGCTTTAGGTGGGAGTTGTCTACCAAAAGTCCAAGTGAAAATGTCAAAGAGGAATACATGAATAGTATTCAAGGCAACAGACAGATGACAGAAGGGTATGAATACAGATAAAGAGGGCTAAGAACTAAATGCCGGGTCATTCTATCTTTTATATTGTACAAATAGGAGATGATACAGGCAAAGAAGATTGTGAAAAGAAGGGTAAAACCAGGACTTCACCAACAAGCAGGGGAAGAAAGGAAGCAGTAATGAGTCACAGGCTGCTAGAAGTTCAAGATAAGAGCTCAAAGCAGATCAACAAATCCGGCAAGATGGAGATGCTGGGGTGTTTTGAGAGGTTCTTTCTTCCTCCAAACGTTGGGTCAAATAGAGATGCAGGGAGTTGGAAAGACATATGTCATTGATACTATGTTGTTTATTGGCTGAGTTCAGTGAGCTTGCAGAGCTCTAGTAGCACTCACAATGTGCTTCCTCCCTCTTGGAGCTCTTGTATATATATTTTAGAGAGAGAGAGATTTTTGCTAGAAAGTGCATGCACTCACCAGATAGACAGAGAGAGATAAAGTGAGAAATCACCTCCCGGAGGGATGGCCATGCCACAACACCACCTCCTCTTTTCTCCTCCTGGGATTTTGGGTACACACACACATGTGCCTGGCAAGAGTTTCAAGCCTCTGGGTCCGAGACTCTAACCATGGTCAGCCATGTGGGAGTTCAGTGCCTTAACCACTATGCCACCTGTTCCCTACCCCTTAGAGCTTATAACCCAAATGAAGAGCTCTCACCAAGTGCTCCCTTCCTCTTGGAGCTCACAGCATGGAGCTAAACTGAGCTGAATCAAGGATGGGCAAAGACAAGGTCACCAGTGCTGAATAAGCTGAGCAGGTCTAGCTAGCTAGCTGAACCAGGCCTGGTATTCCCTTTCTCTTAAAGGGGCTGGAGATGATAGTGGCCCATTGCCAAAACAAAACTGTTGCATATGCACATGTGTGTTACATGCAGTAGTGTAAAATAGCAAAGCCATAATTATATAACAAGTGTAAAAGTGCAATACAACTAATAATATAAGTTGTTTACCTTGCGGCCTTCAAACACAGTAAGATAGGAAGTGAGGGACTCAGATTAAACCATCCTGACTTCATTTTCTCTACCTAGGGGATTTTGACAAAGCTGTTACCATGGATACTAGAGTACCAAGTAAAGAATGAGAGGTGAAGAAGTGGAGACAGGGAGTAAAAGCAATTATTTTGACAAAGGTCACTACCAGGAAGAGCTGAGCAATGGGAGGTTAGTAGAGGACGGCGTAGAATAGGAATTTTAATTTTTAATGGGAGATATTACAACACTTTGGAACAAGAATGACAATAATCTAATAGAGCCACACTAATGCTGCAGGAGAGCTAGGGGGTAACTGCAAAAGCAGCTGAAGCAATCTTACTGGGAAGGGACAATATCTACATCACTGCTACAGGGGTTAGCTTTTCATTGGAACACAGATGAATTCATAGATGAACAATTCTGACCAAACAATGCAGACTATATGGGGGCAAACATGGGTGATTTGGGAGATCTGGAGGGAGGGTAACAGTAAGGGCTTGTGAGGACGTAGAAGTTTTGCAGTGAAATGCAAGTGAGTGGATGATAAGGAGGAGGAGGGAGACTTGTGAGGGTGGGAAGAGAAGGTAAAGCATAAAGTAATTTTCCTGAAGTCAATTTGAAAGCTTATCTTGGAGGTGTTATTCTTTCATATAAGTCAAGGAAAATACTTCAATAATCATGAAAGAATGGAGATAAAAATTTTTTCAAGACCATACAAAAGAAAAGTCAATACAAATGTTTCTCTCCTCAAGTCAAATGTACCAATGAACTTGACGCTTTCTGCTACGGATTATTGTTGAGATAGGAAGTGGCATGCATGACCTAGTTTTTCCCCCATTAATAAAAAGGTTATGCCAACATTTTATTTTCAGCTTCCACTTAAGAGTGCTTAATTAGAGAAAGCAAATGACATGAGAATTCGCCAATAAGGCTCCATCACTCTCAGCAGCATTTTCATAGCATTTCTCTCTAGTTTGATTCTTTGTGTAAAAAGAAAGCAATGAAACAAAAAGCAAGTTCATTAGAGCTAAGAATTTAGTGGAAACTAGAAAGAAAGTAGACAAAGAAAAGAAAAGACAAGGTAAACAGTCTTAGATGGTAGAAATATATCCATTTCTAAGCAACAAGGAATTTTCCAAAGTTTTTACTAGTAGTCTTCCAAGAAATGTTAATATTAAAAAGTTCATTTTACAGATATGAAAAGAAAAGCTGGGACCAGCAGTTAGCGTAATGGCCATGTCACTGGACTCCCATGTAGTCAACCACGGTTCAAATCCCGGACCTGGGGGCTTAAATTCACACCAGGCACATGTGTGTGCGTGCCCAAGATCCTGAGAGGAGAAAGGAGGAGAAGGGATTGCAGCATGGCCATCTCCCCTGGTGGGTGATTTCTCACTTTCTGTCTCTCTGTCTCTGTCTTTCTGGCGAGCGCACGCACCCTATAGCAAAAACCTCTCCAAAAAAAAAAGAAAAGAAAAGAAAGAAAGAAAAGCTGTGAGAAGGGTCTAACAATATGAAGTTATCTGTTATTATCACTAAGAAAGGTACAGTAATGATTTATTCTCTATAACACAGAGTATAGTTTGGGTTGTGGGCAAGAGTCCTCCCCATGCAAAAATAACATTGCTAAAATAATCTTCCTCAATGTCTTTCCAAAGAGTCCCCATTGTCAACACAGAACATAAAGTCCATACTAAACTAATTTTTACTCTGGTTTCCTCTTGCAGACTCCTTGCTCCAGTTAGATAGGAAATTGGACCATGATTCCCTTCTATTTTATTACTTAAATTCTCACCTTTCTTATCAATCCTTGTCCTTTCCTCATTTCTGCCTCCTTTTTTATAGTCATACAATTTATTTTTTCTGTGAGTGAGAGAAAGAAACAGAGAGACAACATTCCCAATAGGATCTTGATACCATGATCCACTGCCAGCTCAGTCAGCCCCCAGATCATAGGCACACAGGTACCTGGTGTGACTTAGGGAGGTCTCTACATGCACATTCAGAACCCTGCCACGTGTGTTCACAGGGAACCCTGCCACATGTGTTCACAATGCACCATATTTACACTGCGCCACCACCTAGTCCCTTCATTTACTACTTTTTTTACATATCTTTTAGTGCTCAGTCCAAGACTTTCTACCCTCTCAGTCCACTTCCTTTGATAAATATTAGGAACTGAAGGAACAGACTCTGTGGCACTAAAAGCCAGACTAAAATATCATTAAATTCCCTGAAAAGTTAGAGAGGTTTTCAATGCTCCATCTAGAACTTAATTATGTCTGAATCTGTCACAGCAACTACCCAACTCACAATACATGAAGGATATTCAACAGTCATTTACGTACTTGTACAAAGTGATTTACTAGTGATTGACTAGAAATCTGAAATACTGGAAAATTAGGGGCCTATTTCAAAGGCCAAAGGAAATATAAACTCTATTTTACTGATAAATGCTCTGAAGAGCATGTTCTAGATTAACATATCTCAAACTATGTTTGCAGAATACCAGTGCTCTAAAGACACCAATAGCTATCCTAAAATTAAAATGTGTAATGCCTGAGGTAACTAAGAATTCAGTTCCTGCATGACTCTTTTCCATCTACACACACTGCCTGGGTAATCTCCTCAAGGATTATGTCTGGA